TGGGTGATGCGTTTGTTTGTTTGCTTGCTCGTTCCTGTGGGAGAAGACGGGGAGGGGATTTAAGGCAAGGCTGGCAGTGGAGCCCGCGAGGGAGCGAGCGGAGTTGTCCGGCGCGGAATGGACGGACGGGGTATGATGAGTAGACTCGGTCGGTCTCCTGTCCGTATCACGGACCCGAGCCGGACGTGCGTGGTGGGCGGGCTCGCTCCTCCTCCGGTCCTTGTGTTTGTTGCCCACGCCCAGCAGCTCCTGCCACCGGTCAAATCCCGGACCCAGTCAGCCGGGAGCAATGGATGGCGTCCACACGCTCTCGGCTCGGCTGGCTCTATAGCCCAGTCAGTCTTCATGCTCCTGCTGCGTTGCTACTGCTAGCGCGACCAGACCATCTTTTTTTTTTCTATACGTACGCCATCTGATCCAACTCAGTCACATATACTTAAAGGCGACCGTGTGCTCGCAAGAAATAAGGCAATTCTGCATATAATTGCATCCCTAAGAGCAACTGCAACGCGCCGTTCGTTTGGCTCGATCGCCCGCTCGATGTCCGCCCAGTTTATCATTTAGATCGGAAGCATGCCCAACCCGCCGACCCAAATTTGCCGGCGTGGCTGGCTGGCCATCCTTTTTCAACAAATATGTACGCATTTTGCATTATTTCACAAACAAACATATAGTTTCACAACCAAATATAGTATAGTTTCACAGCCAAATAAAGCATAGTTTTACAAGCCGAATAAAAATTAAATTGTCTCACATAATTTTACAAGCCGAATAAAAAGGACACATCTATTGGTTGCCAACATGAGCCCACATATGCTCAACCAAATCATTTTACAACTGCATGTGAGTTTTCCAATCACGCATTTCATGATGAAATTGGATGAACTGTTCAAACGTTGCCGCTCCTCCATGCTCAGGCACAACATTCTCACCCTGAAACGGAAACCCTTGATCGTAGATACGTTCCGGACGCTCATCTTTTACGATCATATTGTGCATGATCACACAAGCAGTCTTCACCTCCCACTGCTTCTTCGTGCTGCAAGTCCTAGCAGGATACCGAACGATGCTCCATTGAGATTGCAAAACACCAAAGGCATGCTCGACGTCCTTCCTAGCACCCTCTTGCTCTTGGGAAAATCTTTTCCTCTTCTCTCTAACAAGGTTGGGGATTGTCTTCACAATAGTGGTCCAGTGAGGATAGATACCGTCACCTAGGTAGTATCCTTTGTCGCAGTTGTGGCCGTTGATGGTAACATTCACTGGCGGGTTGTTGCCTTCGGCAAGCCTTGCAGACACCGGTGCGCGTTGAAGCACCTTGATATCATTGTGTGCTCCGGCCATGCCGAAGAAGGAGTGCCAAATCCAGAGATCTTGCGAGGCCACGGCCTCAAGTATGACAGTGCAGTTCTTCCACTCCCAATGCATGCAGTCTATGCTGCCAAGTATCTCTGGGAAGCCCTTACTGGCATTCATCGCCAACAAGCGGGCTGTATCTTGAGGAGTCGGCTCTCTCAAGTACTCAGGGCCAAACATAGCAACCACAGCCTTGCAGAAATTGTACATGGAGTATAGGCATGTAGACTCGCTCATACGAACGTACTCATCAATGAGATCACCAGGCACTCCGTATGCAAGCATCCGGACAACTGCAGTGCATTTTTGATAAGATGAGAAGCCAAATTTTCTGAGGGCATCATGTTTGCACTCGAAATAGTCATCGTATCCGACCACCACCTCTCTAATACGGTTGAAAATATGCCTACTCATATGAAAACACCACCGGAATTTCTGATGTTTGAACAGCGGGGTGGTTGTCTCAAAGTAGTCCTTCCAAAGAAGGAAATGGCCGCTCTCTCGGTTGCGATTCAACGCCAGAAGGTGCCCCGGGATGGAGCCACGGAACAACGATCGCTAGCTATTAAGGTGGTGATGGACCAACACGGCAGCCAAGATCTCCTCCTCCTCATCGGACAAGGAATCGTTGGAGTCACAAAGAAAATTATGGAAAAAAGAACTCGTCGGCGGAGTCCATTTTGTACCTTGGCAAACTGTCGAACATCTTGTGGGCGTCGACGAAGGAGCTGGCTGCAAAAGGGGCGCGTGCCTCCCTTGGACCAGGTGTCTGGCCTGGAGGCATCCGACGAGCTTGCCGGCGTGAGGACGAAGGAGCTGGCCGGGGCGGTGAGGCGGCTTCCTGCTCACAGCGGCGTCAGGGAGGTGGGGGTGGGAAGCTTCGGTGCCCCGAAAGCAAGACGGTGGTGGCGGCGACGTGGGAGGTGGCGACGTTGGGGGGAGATTTGTCGGTGCCGGCTGCTGGCAGAGGCATCGGAAAATGAGCAGCGGCGGCGACGCGGCGGAGGCGGGCGAGGGTTTGCTATCGATCTTGGGGTGGGAGAGGATGACCAATGTGCCACCGACTAGCGGGCTAGGGGAAGAAGTAGGCGGGCGTCGCGCGCGTCTGTTGCAAATGAGACTCAAAATTGGACCAGGAATGGGTCGACAGGCGGACGAAAAGTGGAGGCGCGTCCGTTTGGGTCAGCGCGTTGGACCGACGTTTCTGTCCACGCCGACCCAAACGGACGCGCGCGGGCGAAATGGGTCGGCACGTTGGTCCAATGCGCCGACCCAAACGGACGACGATTTTGTCCGCTTTTTATCTGTTTGGCTCGGCCGCCCGCTCGGTGTCCGTTCTGTTTATCATCTGGATTGGAAGTTGATATGTCTCCAATGTATCTATAATTTTTTATTGTTCCTTGCTATTATATTATTCATCTAGGATGTTTATATGCATTTATATACTATTTTATATGATTTTGGGACTAACCTATTAACCTAGAGCCCAGTGCCAGTTTCTGTTTTTTCCTTATTTTGAGTTTTACAGAAAAGGAATACCAAAGGAGTCCAATTGACGTGCCAATTTTTAATGATTTTTATGGACCAAAAGAAGCCCCGGAAGTGAAAGAGTTGGGCCAGAAGAGTCCCGAGCCATCCACGAGGGTGGAGGGCGCGCCCTACCCCCTAGGCCCGCCCCCCTATCTCGTGGCTAACTCGGAGACCCCCCTGGCGTGAGACCGACGCCAAAAATTCCTATAAATACAGAAACCCCCGAAAAGAAATCTAGATTGGGAGTTCCGCCACCGCAAGCCTCTGTAGCCACCAAAAACCAATCGGGGCCCTGTTCCGGCACCCTGCCAGAGGGGGAATCATCACCGGTGGCCATCTTCATCATCCTGACGCTCCCCATGACGAGGAGGGAGTAGTTCACCCTTGGGGCTAAGGTATGTACCAGTAGCTATGTATTTGAGCTCTCTCTCTCTCTCTCTCTCTCTCGTGTTCTTGATATGGCACGATCTTGATGTACCGCGAGCTTTGCTATTATAGTTGGATCTTATGATGTTTCTCCCCTCTATCTCCTTGTGATGAATTGAGTTTTTCCTTTGAAGTTATCTTATCGGACTGAGTCTTTAAGAATTTGAGAACACTTGATGTATGTCTTGCATGTGCTTATCTGTGGTGACAATGGGATATTCACGTGATCCACTTGATGTATGTTTTGGTGATCAACTTGCGAGTTCTTTGACCTTGTGAACTTATGCATAGGGGTTGGCACACATTTTTATCTTGACTCTCCGGTAGAAACTTTGGGGCACTCTTTGAAGTTCTTTGTGTTGGTTGAATAGATGAATCTGAGATTGTGTGATGCATATCGTATAATCATACCTGCGGATACTTGAGGTGACATTGGAGTATAACACCCTCGATGCGACTATATCTCCCACGTGTCGAGGCACGACTTAGAGGCATAATCGCATTGAAGGCATATGTCGCAAGTTAGGCAATCTTCATAACATCTCATGTAATATAGATAACAAAAGGGGAGATAACATAGTTGGCTTACACTCGCCACGTCAATCAAGTACATAAATAACATTACATCATCCAAACACTCATGGCCCGACTACGGCGCCAAAATAAAAGATAACCCAACATGCGACACGGTCCCGATCACCCCCAACTGGACACCACTACTGATCATCAGGAAAAGACACATAGTAACGTTGAGAGTCCTCGTCGAACTCCCACTTGAGATCAAGCGCGTCACCTGGAGCGGAATCATCAGGCCCTGCATCTTGTGTAATAGTAATCTGTGAGCCACAGGGACTCAGCAATCTCGCACCCTCACGATCAAGACTATTTAAGCTTATAGGTAAGGCAAGGTAAATATGTGGAGCTGCAGCAAGCGACTAGCAAATACGGTGGCTATCCTGTTCGCAAAAGAGAGCGAGAAGAGGAGGCAAAGCGCGAGCGAGAAACTAGAGAGCAACCTACACAAACATTACTCCAACACCGTGTCCACTTCCCGGACTCCGCCGAGAAGAGGCCATCACGGTAACACACTCAGTTGATTCATTTTAGTTAAGTTAAGGTTCAAGTTATCTACGACTGGACATTAACAAATTCCCATCTGCCCATAACCGCGGGCACGGCTTTCAAAAGTTCAAAACCCTGCAGGGGAGTCCCAACTTAGCCCATGACAAGCTCTCACGGTCAACGAAGGAATAGACCTCCTCCCGAGACGTTCCGATCAGACTCGGTATCTCGGTTCTTCAAGACACTTCGACAGGTTAAAACAAAACCAACAACACCGCCCGAATGTGCCGACAAATCCCGATAGGAGCTGCACATATCTCTTTCTCATGGCACACTCAGATTGTCTTAGGTACGGG